GCCTAAAAGGAGGGAGAGAAAACATACTTCTTATGCGACTATAGGAGACGACAGGTAGTGGACAAGCCACTGAGGAGACAAAAGCAGACTGTTTAGTAGTTTTAATTATCTTAAAGGATTGCTTTAAACCAATATTAACTTCAGGCTAAATGAAGCAAAGCTGCACTGGCCCAGCTACACAGGGCCTTTTTTGAAATTAGAACCTAGACTACATAATACTATACCTACAACTAAATTAGAAGCCCAGTACTATGGTGAACTGCAGAAAGGAAGTACAGAACCCAACTGCTTAAAACTGCCACTGTCCTGGCTAATCTAGAAACCAAGTGCTTTTTAAGTTTAGTTATAAAAATGGTCAAGAAAAGACTGCAATCCTTGGCCCAACAGTGTCAATAAAGGAACATAAAAACAATTTAGTTACCCGCCGCCCTATAGCAGATATACTGCTATAGGATGGCAGTGGTGCACAAAATCATGTGTATATATATACGTGATTTTGCATTTCCGGGTGTGGTGGTTTATGATATAATTTATTCTAAATAATTAGGGCGGTGTCCTGATCCCTTAAACAGTATTTTGCAGTACCTCCAGCCATTAAAATACAGCAAATATTTAACAAATAATTTGGACACCTTAATAAATTGAACACCCCGTTATAATATTCCTTGAGTTCTTTTCACCAATGTGATTTCTTTACCATATGCACAAATTTTGCTTTTTTGATAAATTTATTTATGTACAAATATTTATATATTAACTACCTGCCGACCGCAGATAGCCGAATGACGGCTGCACTGCGGCCGGCCAGTTCTGAGTGGACGTCATATGACATCCCCCCAGAACGCACTCTCCTGTGCACCCGGCGATCTCCATGATCGCTGTGTCATACGGACACAGCTGATCACGTGATGTGGTAAAAGGCCAATCACAGTGGCCTTTTACCACCTGATCAGCGGTGTCCAATGACACGCTGATCAGAGGGAAATGCAAGTGCCGGTTCTCGGCTGCACTTTCCTCACGCTGTCAGATCATGAGGAAAGTACTGCCGAGAACCGGCAGTTGTCAGAGCGGGGATCGGCACCGATCATCAGGCACACTGATGATCGGTGCCCAGCAGTGCCACCCGCAAGTGCGCCCGCTGCCACCTGTGCCCAGCAGTGCGCCCACTAGCTCCGCCCACCTGTGCCCAGCAGTGCCACCCACCTGTGCCCAGCAGTGCCACCCACCTGTGCCCAGTGCCACCACCTGTGCAGCAGCCCAGCAGTGCTGCCAGTCAGTGCCCAGCAGTGATGCCAGTCAGTGCCGTCTATCAGTACCCATCATCAGTGTCACCTATCAGTGCCGCCTATCAGTGCTGCATATTAGCGCCACCTCATTAGTGCTGTATATCAGTGCCACCTCATTTAGTATCAGTGCCCTGCCTATCAGTGCCCATCAGTGCCGCCTCATCAACGCACATCAGTGAAGGAGAAAAATTACCTGTTTGAAAAATTTTATAATAGAAACAAAGAAACTTTTTTTTTTTTCAAATTTTTTGCACCTTTTTTTATTTATAGCGCAAAAAGTAAAGCGCCCAGCGGCGATTAAATACCACCAAAAGAAAGCTCTATTTGTGAGAAAAAAAATGATCAAAATTTCATATGGGTACAATGTTGCATGACCGTGCAATTGTCAATCAAAGTGCAGCAGCGCTGAAAGCTGAAAATTGACCTGGTAAATAAGGGGGTATAAGTGCCTGGTAGGCAAGTGGTTAATACAAACGAATATACTGGTGATGAGTATATTCGTACACACAAAGATATATTACGGCAGACCAAACAGTCATGACATGCATGCTGCTGATTCTGTGTAATTGAATCACTAATTGAAAGGTGCATTTTCAAAATAATAGCAGTGTGGAGTTCCATTAGTGAGGTCAATCATTCTTTGAAAAACAGGTGGTAATTATTGCCCTTATTTAAGGAAGGAAGGCAGCAAATGTTGTACATGCTGGTTACAGTGCATTTCTCTCTGACATTCTGAGGAAAATGGGTTGCTCCAGACATTGTTCAGAAGAACAGCGTACCTTGATTAAAAAGTTGATTGGGAGAGGGGAAAACATAAAGAAGTGCAGAAAATGATAGGCTGCTCAGCTAAAATGATCGCAAATGCTTTAAAATGGCAACCAAAACCTGAAAGACGTGGAAGAAAGCAAAAAAACTACCATTCGAATGGATAGAATAGCCAAAATGGCAAGGACTCAGCCAACAATCAGCTCCAGGAATATCAAAGAAGGTCTAAAGTTACCTGTGAGTACTGTTACAATTAGAAGACGCCTATGTGAAGCCAAGCTATCTGCAAGAAGCCCCCGCAAAGTCCCACTGTTGAAAGAAAGACGTGTGCTGAAGAGGTTACAATTTGCCAAAGAACACATTGACTGGCCTAAAGAGAAATGGCGCAACATTTTGTGGACTGATGAAAGTAAGATTGTTCTTTTTGGGTCTAGTGGCCGGAGACAGTTTGTCAGACGACCCCCAAACACTGAATTCCAGCCACAGTACACTGTGAAGACAGTGAAGCATGGTGGTGCAAGCATCATGATATGGGGATGTTTCTCATACTACGGTGTTGGGCCTATTTATCGCATACCAGGGATCATGGATCAATTTGAATACATCAGAATACTTGAAGAGGTCATGCTGCCTTATGCTGAAGAGGAAATGCCCTTGAAATGGGTGTTCCAACAAGACAACGACCCCAAACACACCAGTAAACGTGCAACATCTTGGTTCCAGACCAACAAGATGGACGTTATGGAGTGGCCAGCCCAATCCCCAAATCTTAATCCAATAGAAAACTTGTGGGGTGACATCAAAAATGCAGTTTCTGAGGCAAAACCAAGAAATAGAGAAGAACTGTGGAATGTAGTCCAATCATCCTGGGCTGGAATACCTGTTCACAGGGGCCAGAAGTTGGGTGACTCCATGCAACACAGATGTACAGCAGTTCTCAGAAACAGTGCGACTACAACCAAATATTCATTAAGTGATTCAAAGGAAAGCAAAATCTTCAAACATTTTTCAGTTTATATAGTGAATGTTTGACTTTGTAAAGAAGAATACAAACACTGCTATTTTTTTGAACAGTCTAATATTCACCTTTCAATTTTTTTTTTTTAGAGGAACAACACAAATTTGATATATTTTTCTTCATGTTTTGATTTGGAATAGAATGTGTCGTGTTCCCAATGCATTTGTGTGGATGGAAATAAAAGCTATTAGAAGAATTTTGAGCTTTATTCACTTTTTTCAACACACTGCTATTATTTTGAACACAACTGTATATACCTTTGATAATATTTCAGTTTAGATATATGCCAAGCTTTTTTGTAATATATTATCTGAATTAGGTCTTTTCTCATGCTGGTTTTAAGGTTCAAGTAGACATGTCCTGTAGAAGACCCCCATGTAATTAAATCCATTGTTGGGTAATTAGGGTAAACAGACATTTTAAGCCTCCCTGAGGTGTTATTTACTGGACTGGATTTGGACCTTCTAGTATTCAATAGCTGATTATGACAACTCAAGGTTTTGTTTGGTTATCACACATCTCCCAAGGTCTTGTAATCAGTATTGCTCTATCCCACAATTGTCAATTTATGGTACCTTGTGTTTGAGAATCTGCAAACCTCCAGTTGGTGTTTAATTTCATTGTATTTTAAAACAGGTCTCTTCCACTCATTGTTTATGGTGGCTTCCTAGAGGGGTCACCTGAAGTTAATTATTTTAACCCATAACAGTCAGCTTTAGAGTTTTCTTTTGGGAAAAATTATTATTTTCCTTAATAAATAGTTCAAAAGTCATCACACAGGTAGGGGGTGCGCACTACCAGTGCCACTATTTGGAGGCCTCGGCTGTCATTCGTCATTCACCAGATCCTGGCTGGTGATTACTCGCCGACACCTGGTTACCAACAGTGGAGAGAACTGAATGTAAACAAATACAGTTGTCTCCCCCGTCCGCTCCTGCACACTGCTTTGTATGACTCTGCATTGCAGAGCCATACAAAGCAGTGTGCTTCCAAGGGAAAGCACACACAGCTTACAGTAAAACAGCACACAGTTAACCCTTTGATCGCCCTAGTTGGTAACCCCTTTCTGCCCAGTGCCATTAGTACAGGGTCAGTGCTTTTTATTAGCAGTGATCACTGTACTGGTGTCACTGGGACCCCAGTGTCAGAATGCACACCACAGTCCCACTACAAAAGTCGCGGATCGCGGCCATTACTAGTAAAAAAAAAAAAAAAAAAAAAATGCAGTATATATACACCGTCATTTGTAAATGCTAGAACATGCACATAAACCAATTAAGTTACACATATTGGGATTTTTTTTTAGCAAAGACATGTAAGCAGAACATATTTTGGCATATATTTATGGCAATTTTATTTTGTTAAATCTTTTTACGGGACATGTTCAATAGCAAAAAGTCAAAAATATTGTTTCTCTAAAAATGTTTTTTTTTTTTTTTAAAATAGCGCAAAAAATCAAAAAACACACAGGCAATTAAATACCACCAAAAGAAAGCTCTATTCATGGGGGGAAAAAAAAAAAAAAAAAAAAAAGACACAAATTTCATTTGGGTGCAACGTTGCATGACCTTTTTTTACCTTCGTGTGCTATGTATGAAGAATGCATCAAGTGGAGGGACCAGGACTGCTGGCAGGGGTAACTGAGAAGAGGAGATTGGGGCTGCTCTGTGCAAAACCATAATGCAGAGCAGAGAAGTAGAACAGGTTTGTAATTTAAAAGAAAAAGACAAAAAGTAAAACACGTTTCCAGTAACAGCTATATAGAAGGAATCTGGTCCATATTAAATGCTGACTTCACAATAATGCAATTCTTGCACATGGTTTTGTATATTTTACCCATTCGCAAAAATTTTAAATAAAAGTGAAATGAAGACACCATCACAAGAGTGACTTTTCTGGAACCAGAATATTTATTTTGTTTACAAATGTGTTTAATGTTTCTTGTTGGCTGCTGCAACCTGTGAAGAGAACAAAAAAAAAGGCCAAAATGTAAAAAATTTCAGTAATCTGAAAAGCAATTTATGAGAAGAGCAAGATGAAATGTAAAATGGACATACTCCAATAACTTACATGGATGCATAAATTATCCAAGCACCCTAATACAAACAAAAATGAAACAATTGTACTTTTAGCAGCATTAGGCAAATGAAGCTTTTGGACGGTGGGTAGCAGGACTCATACATGATTTATCATTCATTCTGGGCAGCCAAGCACAGAGACATTCACTGACTGTCAGTCCCAAATCACAAATGATTAAAGTATGGGCCTGGGCCTGCCACTCACTGACCAAGAGCTTCGTTTGTCAGAAGTTCTAAATGCGATCTCTTGGATAGCAAAAAGTTCAATAGTGTAAAAATAAGTGTGTCAGAGCCAGTGTGTATCTGGCAAGTCTTTATCGCACATGAAAAGGAGGTCAGTAGCAAAAACCAACGTGTTTCAATAGCTCAAGCTGCTGCAAAAAAAAAAAAAAAAAAAAAAAAAAGGATAAAGGTCAAAACACCAGTCAGGATGCATGAACAGTGACCAGTACTTGTACAACTTATTCTTCTCTTTTGCAATCTACTTTTCAATTACTGCCAGCATCCAAGACCTGATGAGGGATGAGATTAAAACCCTCAAAATACATTAGCATTCTCTATTGTCATGTGCAATAAAAATCTACTCTGGTCTCTTATTAAATCTATGGCACTCATCCTTTCTATACTATGTAGATTACCCTCCATGGATTCCAAAGGATGCCCTGGTTGACAGCAGTTTTTAAATCTGATTTGAAGCCTCACTCCATTTGGACCAGAACCCAACATGTGTAGTGTTGAACATAAAAGTCAGGAATAGAAAACATAACTCCAAAACAAATGTATAAAATATTCATATATTGTAAACCTAAAAAAAGGTAGTAAAGTCCAACTTTTATCAACAGATAAGCTTATAATAACGCATATCTGTAGGTAAAACGATATCTCCTAATTGTGCACGGCTTAGGAAATGTTCCAGTGAGCAGCATCTGGTGATTTCACATGCGGGACACCATGCAAGTCGCAGAGGAATTGCACTGCATTCCTGTGCAAATTACATGCAAATGTCTGTGCGGTGTAATTTGAGCCATATATTTTCTATGGCTTAAATCGCATACAAAAAAGTGCAGGACCCTTTTAAATCCTCACCCGAATCACACTGCATAGGTGTTCTCGCCCATGCAATGCGATTTCTCACAAAAGTATCGTGTTTTGCGATCTGTTTCAGGATGTCATTAATTTTTCATCGACATGTACCCTCCCTCTCCCAATTCTGCCCTGATCGCCCAGCTCTTTCCCCCCTCCCTGCAACCTTCTCGGATACAGCACAGGTCAACTAATCACAAAGCGCAGTCTGCACATGCGCAGTGGTCACCCAGCTGTGAAGCCGCAACCTGTCACAGCTGGGTGCCCACAGTTAAGATGCCAATGCTGGGGACCAAAGAAGGTCCCCGGTGCCCCCTCTGGATCCAGGGAAAGGTAAGGGTCTGCTGACTAAATTTTTACAAAATGACCGGAGCTCCGTTTCAACTTTACTACTGATTTAAAAAGGTGTCAATGCTATCTGCACATTCTCAGACTTCCTGGGACAGATTTGCTCTACAATTAAAAGTTCTCAGTGGCACATTTTGCTAAAGGTAATAACACAAACACAGCAAACTCCGTACTCCTGCACTGGGGGTGGACTCAGCAGAGGCTAAGGTAACAATTCAAATGTCCTGGAATATGCACTCCTTGCTGCCCTCAACGGACCGTGGGTAGTCCAAAGTCACTGGATACAGAAGAAAGTAAAAAGAGGGCACACTGGCTTAGTGCATTATCATAAAAAGTATTTATTAAAAGGATAAAAAAGTAAGTAACATACTCACAATGGACATATAAGACAAAGGGCTCTCTGAGGAAGAGGCTGAGTCCTCGAAACGCGTTAGCCAGTAGAAGTCCAGGGTTCCATTTTTTTGGATTTCGATGCAGTGTGTATTGGACACTGCTGTTTATTGTGATGTGCCTTTGTCTTATATGTCCATTGTGAGTATGATACTTACTTTTTAAGATAATGCACTAGGCCGATGTGCCCTCGCTTTTCTTCTGTATCTGCTGAAGGTAATAAGCCTGATGCCAGGAAGCTGAAAAACATGGAGCTAGTCGGCTTCACTTCTTACAAAGTGCATATATCTAGTTTCCAAACTGTACAGAGGTATGGTAAATGCTGTACAAATCAAGAAAGCTAGAACCTGAACAACCAGTATTTGCCATAACCAGATCCCATTGTTCTACTGCCATCTAAGGTATCTAAGAGCATTGCTTTTCTACAGATTCTGTTCAAGGCGCTAACTGACCTCATTTTTAGGGCCCTAGCAGTCTTGAAATGTCAACATGCAAAGACAAATTTGACAAGTTACATTTTAGCTGCCTCCTCCCACAACTTCCTATTGGTTCTTTGTTTAAAAAGGAGGCCACAAAGTCTAATGGAAATCAGCAGAAGGCAACAAAGCCAGCCCTTGAGGCATAGAAAGGTGTCTCACTTAATTTATCAGGCAGGTCCAGCTTTAGGAACAGGACCAGATTTGAGAACTAATGGATTCATAGTAGTCTAAATTGTAAATTTTCAGAAGGGACAGAACAGTACAATTTGCTGAGGTATAACAGTACAATCATTTCATGGGAAGATCTGGTATTGAAAAGCTACATACCTGCCCAGCAATTCTGTCAAGGTCTCTCTGTCCTTGTGGAGTCAGTCTGCGACCTCTGCAAAAAAAAAAAAAAAAAAAAAAAAAAAAAAATACTGAAACTCAGACATGACCAGATAAAGTCATAAAAAGACAAACTGAAGCCACGGAAACAGATATGCAGTCAGGACAATTGTACTACCTCCCTCCACTTTCCTGTTTCAGTACTTGTGCAGGATGTTTAAATACAACTGTGCAGTCTAACAGATACCCAGGGCTCTCAGTAATTCACACAAACCTCACCAACACTTCCAATTTTCTGCAGCTCTATTTTGCGTTGAGATTCTTGCACGGGAGGTGTGTCTGCTGTCAGCTCTACCAGTACAGAGCACTGCAATGTGAGCAGGAAGCAGTATTTTCTTAGTATAAACTGTTTTCTGGAGCAATTCCAAAAAAAAAAAAAAAAAGCCACGTGCAAACACGCATGGGTACAGAATACAAACTTTTTACAAATCCATACACCAAATGTGCTGTGGGTAAAAAGTATGGTCTTCCTGCCATGTACATAAATAAAAAGTAGTAGTTTGTGTCACATCATAAGCAACGGCAAAGATTCTTGTTCTTATTAGACATACGCCGTCTGATTTGCACGTGTGATATGAGGATATGAAGTCCACAGGTTGCAACAATAAAATGGAACTAGTAGATAGGCTGGTGATTTTCCTACCACATTAGCCAACACTGCAAAACTAGCTACACATACTCCATGTGAACCTTCCCATTTCCAAGCATGTCAGCATAGTGGTACAGTCTGCTTCATCACTGGCTTTAATTAGTTTTTCTTCAAAATTTGAGCCTAAAACATTGATGTTACCAATATGAAAGGTTCAACTCTGAAAAGCACAGCTAATCCTCAATCCTGTACCACTCCCCTGGCAACGGACATATGAAAAGCAGTAAAGTATGACTTGAACGCATAGGATTTGATTTTATTCCACAGAATACAGCACCAGAACCCCCACATCAATTCCATGGCGGGATGTCCAACAAGAATCTGCTTTCTGATAAAGTTTTTTTTTTTTTTTTAAAGCGATTCTAAAGGTTAGTTTGTTTTTTGGAAAATAAACATGCTATACTTACCCGCTGTGTGCAGTGGTTTTGCACAGAGCAGCCTGGATCCTCTTCTTCTCAGGTCCCTCGCAGGCTCTACTGGCCCCTTGCTCCTGTCGGGTGCCCCCACAGCAAGCACCTTGCTATGGGGGCACCTGCAGCCAATGCGGGTGCCAATGGCTCCTGTTTGCTGTAACAGCCAATGAGGAGGCAGAGACCCAGGTAAGTATTGAGGGGGCTGTGGGCACCGCTGTACACAGGTGGTTTTTTTTACCTTCATGCATAGAATGCATGAAGTAAAAAAAAAAAAAAAAAAAAAAAAAAGCCTTTACAACCACTAACTTATTTTCAAGATGCTATCTTCAGGACGGGCATTCGGCCAGAAGTAGTACAGGTCCCATAATGGTCAAGCTTAAGTGTTTGTGATGTTGGCATTGTAGATTTTGCATTGCATTAACTGTATTGAATAGAATCTAGAAAAACACATTTCCACAATCTGGTCTACAATGTACTTTACTCAATCCAGTCAAAAGGAATTTCCAACTGGGTCTAGTGGGCACACTTCACTTACCCATTGGGGTCTTTCTCCACCATTTTGAGCCCCTCCAGAGCCTGCAACACCTTCCTGGCCACACTTTTTGATCCACGGCTAAAGTGGCTTGGCATGACACCATTGCGTTGGCGCCCACCATAGATTTTTGTCATGGAGCCAACTCCGGCGCCACCACGGAGGTACAAGTGACGAACTGTGGAAGCTGAAACAAAATATTTCAATTAAACACCTAAGGAATTCATGCAATTCTGTTTAAAGCATTACCTGTAGGTTTATCTAAAGACCAAAGAATATGAATTAGTTTAGTAAAAGAGAATGGTTCATAGCCACTAAATTCATCATTGCCTTACCATAGCTAACAAAGAGAAGCTGTTACTTTCCCCACTGAGGGAAAAGTGAAAGGTTTTCTCCTTTTACAACACACCCCTGCTCACTTGCCTCCCACCCTTGCTCACTTGCCATACCACTTGCCTTTAGAAAAAAAAAAAAAAAAAACCTTGTACAAGCTTTGGCCAGAATTGACATGGTAAAATGGAATTTTAAGCTTGACAATGAAAACGGGTGGACAGGCAGGGAGACGTGCTTTGTCTCTTCTGCATTAACTGGATTAGCTGCAAGCGCAGCTCATTGCTCAAATTTGGCAATGCCAAATCTGATGGATCTCCTGCACATACACATGAGTAACGTCATCGCTGCCCAGCCAATGACCTCATCTGGTGTTCAGGACCCAAAAGTCGGCCAAACAAAAATGTCAGTGGCTGGCAGTGAGTTCTAGGGACATGGCATCACTGGATTCTAGGAGAGGATAATTCCGCTTTAAGGACTTTCTTCCCTCCCTCGACAGTGGTCTGACCTGGCCATTGGCTGTTCAGGCCTGAACACTGCATCCTGGGAGTAAGGGGAAAGGTGGCCACATGCTTCCTCCATAAGGGTTTCTACATACTAATTTAGCAAGTCGTTTTCGCTGAATGGATTACCTTTAATCCCACCATGCATGGGCACCCTTGTTTGGTCAGAGTGACAGGATTTCTAAATTCTTGTCATGTACAGGCACCCCCCTCCCTCACCCCCTCCAAACAATCTTAACCATATAAATACAATAACTGCACATCCACTGGGCTCTAGTAACACTGTACTGGTTTGCAGGTGCTCACCAGAAAAAGGCTCGGAAAGGGCTATTACTCTACTACCACTGCCCTGCATGATGAGACTGCATTGCATTTACCCAAAGTAAAATGCACACAGAAGTCTGACCAACACTCAGCTTTAACCCAAAAAAAATGATGTACAAAGTCCTCTTACCAGCACGGGTGTAGAACCAGTTTTCATCATAAGGTGCCAGTTTCCTTGTGTTTGGCAAGTTTAACTGTGTCTACCCATTCTGGTACTTTAAGTTTCCCTGACCTGCGAAAACAAAAATTCAAAGTTATGTATATACAGTCAGGTCCATAAATATTGGGACATCGACACAATTCTAACATTTTTGGCTCTATACACCACCACAATGGATTTGAAATGAAACGAACAAGATGTGCTTTAACTGCAGACTGTCAGCTTTAATTTGAGGGTATTTACTTCCAAATCAGGTGGACGGTGTAGGAATTACAACAGTTTGCATATGTGCCTCCCACTTGTTAAGGGACCAAAAGTATGTTCACACGAGGTGAGCATCTTTGGTTGTTGGAAATTTTTTGCAGGTGTTTTTGCTTGAGCATTTTTTAAACTATTAATGTGCGTGTTTCAGGAATTCCCACTGAAGTCTATTTGGGTAAAAAGCTTCAAGCTCAAAAGAAGCTAATGTACATTTTTGAACTACAAGCTTCAAGAGACACTACGTTCAGACACAAATAAAAACCATGGAATTTTGGCTGTTGCCGGATGAAATGAATGGAACATGATTCGTTGTCAAAAGCAAACTCCAATCATTCCCAGTATGGGCAGATAACATTCCCAACAGTCTCTTGAAGGATTAGTCCACCTCCTAAAATGTTAATGAACAACGTTTTGCAGGACAAAATGTGAATTTATTATTTTTTTTCTTTTCACAGGAGCCTGCACAGCATTGCACCCATGATCAGTGGATCACGACTGAAATGTCAGGCTCTTTCACACTACTCAGCACGCTCATGGTCCACTGAGAAATAAAGACCATCTACCATGATGGCAGATGAGACTTGTTCTTTCACAAGTTCCTGTAAGTGAATGACATGACTGTGTTGGCAGAGTTTTCAAACTGACAGCAGGTGCAGGGAGAGGAGCCCCCGCCTGCTGTCATTGGGGGGAGAAGGTCTGTAGCATGTTACACCCTAAATATGGGTGTAAAAGGCTCCAACAGGTGAACTCAGCCTTTAAGCTGGCCATACATGGATTGAATTCAGCTGATTTAGCATGGACCAGATGAATTTTGATCCATGTATGGGCTTGGCTGTACACGATAATCAATCAACTTCTGTACAACCAGCCTGTTGGGTCCCCCCCCCAATTAGTGTCATAGGCGATAGCCACAACACTAATCACATTCTCCTGCCAGCAGAACACAATAGCACTGCAAGAGGAATTCCCCCATTAAGACTGACTGTGTTCATGGGGGAAATAAAGTAATTTTCTTTCCTTCCACCCGTGGTAGAATGGAAAAAAAGAAAAAAAAAAAAATTCCATAATCTATGGTCTGCCGTACACTGAAAAAGGTTTCCAGAGAACCAAACTTACTTCTTGAGGAAAGCACCCAGGGCCCTGACGAACTCCTGCTGGTTTACGTCTTTCACTGTTACTCCGGGCATCTAAATAATAATAATAATAATAAAAAAAAAAGTCAACCAGGTTACATGGTAAAGATAAAATGAAGCTTCTCAGAGAACAGTGGCACCAACAACATTTTCTGCTTTAATTTTTTTATCAAGGTGACACTAAACCAAGTCCTTTTCCAAAAACAAACATAGCTACCCTCTAACAGGAAGTCAGATCAAACAAAAAAAAGGAATTTGGAGATAGATTTGGGGGAGGCTGAGAGGAATAGGACTTTTTAAATGTAATAATACATACTGGAATATAATATTTTTCTTTAACCACTTGACCCTAGGCCAATGCTATCATTTGTCACATACATGTAAGAAAAAAAAAAAAAGAAAAAAAAATACTGCAAATTTTTTTTAAAACTATTAAATTACTTCGGACCCACAAATTACCCTGGAGAATAAAACGGTTGTTCCACTTTTTTGTTTTATGTTGCACGAGGTTTGCACAGCAGTTTATGAAATGCAAATTTTCAAGGAAGAAAATACACTTTAATGAATTTCAATGAACATAAAACACAAAATAAATATGCAAAGATATTACTGCATAACCTTGGGGTCCTTATATAATTCCTTATAATCGGTTTCTTATGGTGTAACTTTATCAAGAGAGACCTGTTGTCCTTGATAAAAACAAAAAGAATGTGGTGATTAATTTGAGGCGAAACTGCGTTCACGCTATGGTCTTTTCTTCTTCTGATTTTCCTTTGGGGGATTCGGGAGAGGTGTAAGCAGAGAGGTACCTAGGACATGGGAGGAGGAAAACAGCACTGGAGGTCTCAGAGAAAGTAAAGGGGGCTGAGTTAGTAAGTGCCCAAGATGTCACTAACTACTTCCTGAACCAGCTAGCATACATCGCCAGTTCAGAAGCTTATACAGAGCCAATGCCTACAGCTGCCAGCATCAACCAGGTAATTTTTGTTCCAGGGGTAACACAGTTTTGTGTAAAAGCAACCCTAAGGGCCAATTAGCATCTGGTTTGCTTTTACAGGTGGTGAAAGTAAGTTCCCCGTCTCCACACTGCAGCCTCTCTGAGATCTCTCTTGTTCCAGCAGGGAGCCTGGCACTAAAAGCCGGCGCTTCCGCCAGCTTACCATAGAGATGATTGAGGACCAGATCTTCCCTGATCATCTCTATGGTATTAGAAACAGGAAGCAACGGGTATTCTGTCATTTCTAGTTTTCTCAGCATGTAAATAAGTCATTTTTGGCCTGGACAAAGCATATGAGCACACCAATCTTGGTTTGATCAGAAGCTTTTAAGGGTGGAGGAGAGAGAAAGGAGGTGTAATGGACCCCAGATCTCTGGACCCCAGATCTCTCCATAAAGAGGATCTGTCACTGCTTATCACAAGGGATGTTTACAGATAGGATAGCAATAAAGTGATAAAAAAAAAAAAAAAAAAAGACTGTGTAAAATTAAAAAGTAAATAAAGTGCCCATAGCCCACCGTGCTTGTGTGCAAAGATGAACAAATACGTATATCAATGGAGTTCCAACCACACAAGTGCGGTTTCACTACAAGTCAGAGAAATAATTCTAGCAGCAGAGCTCACAGCTAATTCTAAAATAGTAACTTGCAAGCCAGGTGCCCACTGTGCATGCGTGAGAAGCGCTGCTCTTTGTGAATGGCCCTGTAGTCTTCTGGGACCTTTCACGTGTCCCAAAAGACTATGGGGAGGGATGGGGAAGAACAACTCCGCAGAAGTGGAATCGGGTATCTGTCAAACTCGGGTACCCGCTCCCCCCTCCGCTCCCCAAAGGGCCGCAGTCTCTGGTCATCCCCTGTACTGCGTCCGCAGTCTCTGGTCATCCCCTGTACTGCGTCCGCAGTCCATTTGTTCAGAATATTTTTTTTCTTGTCTTCCTCCTCTAAAATCTAGGTGTGACTTACAGTCAGGTGCGTCTTACGGAGCGAAAAATACGATATATATATATATATATATATATATATATATATATATATATATATATATATATATATATATATATATATATAAGGTTTGGGGGTTCTGAGTAATTTTCTAGCAAAAAAAAAATACAGATTTTTAAATGAAAACAAAGTGTCATAATAGGCCCAGACTTCGAGGGGTTAAAGCAGAGTTCCACCTGAAAAAAAAAATTAACGTCAGCAACTACAAAAACTGTAGCTGCTGACTTTTAAAAATACACAGCCACTTACCTGTCCAGGTGTCCAGCGGTGTCCTCACCACGGCTAGTTTCTCCGGCCGTCTTCTCTCCCTGGTGCCGGGATCTTCAGTGTGGGCACCCGGCTGTGACAGCTATCTGCTTTACAGCCAGGTGCCCACTGCGCATGTGCGAGAAGCGCTATGCTTTGTGAATGGCCCTGTAGTCTTCAGGTACCCAAAAGGTGCCAATCCTTAATGGGGAGCGGGTGACAAAGGCTTAAAGCGAAATTTCCCCTTTTGGATGGAGCTCCGCTTTAAAATTGAGTCCATAGAATGGAAAGTACAGTAACCCATCAGTTTTTTGCCATGTTGTCCCACTGGGGAGATTTCCCATCACTTCCAAGCAGGAAGTGAGAGGAAATCCCTCCAGAGTGAAAGAATCCCTGGGTGTCACCAGGAATTGTGTCCCCACTGGAAGATTTCCTCTCAATTCCTGTTTTAGGGCAAAACCCAGAGTTTGGGATTTTCTTTGCCTTTCACTGATAACAGAAGCATGGAGGAGAAGGGTGGGGAGACTAGTAAGTATCACCCTTGCCATAGCCCAGCATTAGGCGTTCGGCTAGCGAGTGATGTGGAATGAATGGAGAAGGGAAGGAGTTCCAATGAGAAAGAGGAAGACTCTGGGCCAGTCCTATGGCCGGTCCTCCATGCTGCACACACCATGTGGCTCACTACAGCCGGATGTGGAGCCCAGACAAGAAAACACACAAGATACACCTTGGGCCTACTCCTCTACAGCGAAGCCATGGCCAGACCCCGGTCTCGAGTCATTCACGCTGTCCGAGCTCATTCCCTAGAGCCGGCACAGCCCTCAGGAAACACCGCGGCCTACCGCGCGACACCCATGCCACAGAGCCTCCAGAAGAGACCCGGATAGCACCACCAACTCCGGAACACATAGCCGACCTCCAAACTGATCACCAGCCGGTTATATCTCCAGTAAGCCCCGGTAATCCGGTCTTCGTTAGGCCCGCACTATGCCTTACTCACCTTCTCTCCGTGGAGCCGAGAAGGGAAAAGGGATCGACGGGGTCTCCCGGGCGCAGAAGAAAGGGAGCGCGGCAAAGTCACGCCTCTCTCTTAGCGGGAAGTTTCGGATTGGACGGCAAGGCAAGCTAAGAGGCGTAACTGTGCGTCTCAAGCTGAAACGCAACAAAGAGATTCCTGTATGGTGGCTGATAAAGGGTCAAACTAGTAGAGATTGCTTTATAGAACCTGCAACAGACGGTAGAGACAGTGTTGCCTGTAGAGGAAGGATGGCTGCTGTCATTGGGTTTCTTTTTAAACTCTTTTTATTATTTATATAAAAAATATGCCACATTCTGTTTTGCATCAATGAGAGCGGATACAGAAATTGCATAATATTCAAGTAGAAGTAAAGGCAAAAGTTTTTTATTTTCACTAGAATAAGGGGGGTTTATAACCCCTGCAGGGGCGGACTGAGAACTCATGGGGCTCCCGGGCAATAGGGGTTCAGGGGGCCCCTGTGTCCTTGCTCAAACTCAAAAAAGCCTATGAAAAAGGTACCAGGGGCATTTCATGGGGCCCCTACTGACCCCGGGCCCTCGGGCAGTGCCCGAGTTTCCAAATGGTCAGTCCGCCCCTGAACCCCTGTCATTTTGTTCCATCTGGGTCTCATGGGTGAGATTTCCCTTCACTTCCTGTCCCATAGCCAAAACAGGAAATGAGAGGGAGTACCTTCAAAGGGAGGTAATCCCCAGGCTGTCACCAGAACTGGTGACCCCATTGGAAGATTTCTTCTCTTTGCCTTTTTGGTTGACAACCCAAAATTTGGGATTTTCTTCTACTTTCAGTGATAACAGTCACCGGGACAAATAGAGAGGGTGAATCTCCCTAATGGGGGCACCGACAGCAATAATACTGACCCATATCCACACTATCCAAAACTAAAAAAGTTTTGTCCTTAGTTATAACTTTATCAAAACATTTTCAAAATTCACCCCGTTATATTTCCATTGTCTGTTTAAGACATTTATATTTGCAACTTTCTATGAGAATAATTTTGGGGAGTTAAATAATTAAATCCAGGAAAATGCCTCCTGTGTGTTGTGATTTGACCCTAAAGAATATTCTGTCAAATGATCTCTACTTTCTTACGTTTTACCATACACTATACAATCGATAATTCAATCTCCTTTGGATCTACCAACAAGTATGTAGTGTGATGCTCTGCCTGACTGGCTACAAATTGATTGGATAGATGAGGTAAACCCTCGTATTACATAGTTTTGTGAGAGCGAAATGCAAAGATTGTACAGTCAGATTCTAACATCTGTGGTGATCCTTAGTGCTAATATGAAGAGAGAACATGCAGGTCCATTACACAAAATACCTGGAGGTGAGAAGTCATAAAATAAATTCCCCACCAGAAGTGTCTAGTCTAGGGCAGGGCTTAAAATTTCCACTCTCCTGCTCGCCAACTGCAAAGGGAAAATCCCTTTGTGGCAAGCACAGATGGAGCGGGTGGCTTGCAATGAAGCTGGTGGCTTGCAATGCGATCCCCAGGCCCCGGGGATCGATTTGCATTCAACTTGCGCTCCAAGCCTCGTTGTGAAGCCGACTGCCAGTTTCCAACTTCCGGTTTCTTCTTCGCCGCTGTGCGGGGGACACGAGGCCCGCTCTTCACCGCTTTGGGGGAAAATGACTTGTGTATGGCCAGCTTAAGGTGAGCTGCTTGCATGCACACTACAGATCGTTACTCATTGCCACAGTTAGAATGGAGCACCACTCAATTGTTTGAAGTTTTGCATAGAGAGAGAAAGGGCTAGAGCCTATGTAT